TCTTAATTTTAATGGTGACAGTTGTAAAATTTCTCAGCCTTAACAATTCCAGGTCTTGTCAGTTTTGTTTGTCATAGACTAGATGAGGGATTAGGGATATTATGCTTGTGATCCAAGTATTAAAAGTCAGTAAGAAATGTTTGGGACACAACACTAACAGCATGTTTTTGTTGACAACAATATTGAAAGTTTGAGAATAGAACCTAGAAGATTGAGCTCTTGAGAGTAGTACCTATTTAAATCAAAAGGCAGCACCATTTCCCCTGGCTCTGAGCCTACCCTGGCAGAGTGGTGCTTTTTGAGGGCTCTTGAGCCCTGGAGTGCACTTCCTGGCGCTACATGAAGGAAGGAACTTGGTACATTTCCTTGGTTCACAGACCTGGTTTTCTAAATCACTCAACTCTATTTCTCTTTTTCCTTTTGTTTCTTTTTATCATCCCTTGGCTACAGGCCTAGTTTTCCATCCACCACCAATCACCCTTAGTTTTCAGGTACATTCTTTCTCTGCCTCTGATCATAAAAACTCATCACAATAGTTTTACAATACTTCATTTTTTGAGTGAACTTATGACCTTCACTGAGTAATGTCTGTCTTTATATCATAGCTCACAATCATTGGTGCTTATCATTTGGCCCATTTTTTAAGAGGTGGCGGCAACAGACTATGGATCTGATCAGAACAGACAATATTTCATAGTCTGACCATTATCCTTCATTGACACTGAGTTCTCCTTTTACATCTTTTCAATGATATTTCCAACTATATTTCTATTGACTCCATCACTTGGTTATCGCTTATTTGGGGAAAGAATTTCCTTTAGTTTTTTTTTTTTTTAATTCTTATAGGTCCTATATTCAACAGATACTTCCCAAATTTTGATGACTAAGTGACTCTAAGGAAGGAAGAAATGTATACTAAATGTCATTCATATGCTCAGTCTGAGAATAGTTGGTCAGGCTTTGGTTGATGTATTCTCTGAAAGGAACAGTGATCACTTATCAATTACAAAATCCTATGCATCCACCTATAGCTAACACATTTTGTACACTTCTTACCTAGGCCAAAATAAGGCAAGAAGCTAACTTTATCTCAATAGACACGTGTACCTTTTATAACTCAGATGACCTGCTGTAATCTGTATTCATTATAAAGAACAACACTGCTATAAAATTGCTATAAAATTATTTTCCCCTCACTGACCTAAAACTGTTGATTATTGTTCATAAAATAATGTCTATAGCCTTAAATGAGTACATTTTCTAGGACTAGCTGATAATTTTTAATACACATATTAACATTTTTCAAACTTTTCTGGGTAAAAAGACTATATTTTCACCTCTAAAATACAAAATTCTACATGGACTAGATGATTTTTGGAAATACATAATCTCAAATAGCTTCCACTTATATTTAAGATAAAGCTAAAATTAAATTTATTTTGCATAAGGAGCAGAGCTTTGTGCAAATATGTCTGCTTTTAATATGTGAATGAATGGAGAGACTGAGGGGGCAGTATTGCTCACTCACTGCTTTTGGTTTCTCCAAAACTCAGTAAATTTATGTATCATGTAATTATGTACATAATTAAAAATAATTAGGAGGTCTAGTTAGGATGAAAAACGCTGCTCTTAAGTTTGCCTTTGGAGTCACTTGTTTTTCTTTTACAGTCAGTTTTAGTTACTTTACAGATAGCTTAAAGGACTTCACAGTTAAAAATATTCTTATGGCTCTTGAAGCATTTGCCTTCATAAGACTGTCTCTCATAATGATCATTTTATGAAGGTAACTCCTACCCATCTCTCTACCTTGATCTTGCTCTGCCAGCATCTTCCATTCTTCATATTAGAGAAAACCCAAAGTTATTGGAGAAGTTTAAAAAACCATTTTAAGACTTATACATCTACTCATTAGAGCACATCAGAGCAGCTGTAGCCAAGGTTTAAACACTGTACATATTAATAAACTGACAGAGGTTTTAGCAGCTTTTCCAGAGTCACACAAGTACTAACTGAAGAAACAAGTAAGGTTCATCTGACTCCAAATAACAAGTATTAACAATAATAACAATTATTTACTGAGCACTATCTGCCAGCTACTTTACTGAGCATGTCCCAAAATTACCATGAACTGCATGAAGTAGATTTGTTTTAAATACTAATTTTCTTGATGAGGGGTCTAGTACAGAGAAGTTAAGTAGCTTGAGGGGGGATGAAAGAGAAGGGAATGATAATGAAAACAGAATTAAGGTGTATTATGTACTCCTCACAAGGAATGTAACATTATGTACTACAAACATGTACCGATAACAATAAAAATTTAATTTTAAAAAGTAGCTTGCTTAAGTCTACATTACTGAGAAGAGGTAGCATAGAGATTTGACCAGGGTAGCCTGAATTAAGTATCTATTTACTTAATCAAAATACTGTTGTAGGCACCTATTTTAGAATTATTTTAAATTAGCTACCAATACTAGTCTTATTAATGCAATTTATAATTGTGTATATATAATGTAATGATAAATATTAATATATTTGTACCAGTGTTTGCCTTTCTGAGCCCCTACTCTGAGATAAGAATGCTAGGTCTTGTGTGTACAGAGACAATAAACACTATTTCTGATCAAAAAAGCTCACAGTGAAGTTAGAAAATATGCAAGTTAATAAATTCACTATCGTAGTTAAGAGAGAATGCTTTACTCCTACAGTAGTACAGAAATATTTTCTAGAAGAAAACTTAAGTTACAGATAAAATTGTTGCACCATAACTGTTTGGAGTAGTGTACTCTAGGCAGAGGTGCAACAGGTGAGAAAACAAAGTGGCCTGTTAGAGGAAATAGCAGGACCTCACTAATGTTCCTACAATGACCCCAAAATGGGCACCCAACCTCAAAAGGCCTTCAACATTTAAAATTTATTTTTGTCATCAAGTATTTATTAAATGTCTACTATATATTAGGAACTGTACTAATTATGTAGGAGCTAAGAAAGGCACAATTCTCACCTATTAACCATTTACTATGCTATTTGCTCATTTGAAGAGTTTAAATTTTATCCTATCAACAACTCAGAGGCTTTGAATATATTGAAACAGGACAGCATGATCTAATTCGTGCTTAGACACAATCATTCCTCAGAAGTACTCTATTTCAAAATAGTTATATATCTCATGATCTGTTCTTTATTTTTATTTTTCTTCCTCCTAAGTTTATCCTTTCTCTAGTGTTTTTTAAATAGAATTTATGTTTAGACATTTGAGTTTACAGCAAAATTAAGTAGAAAGTAGAAAGATTTCTCATAAACTCCTTTCCCCCAAATAAGTACAGCTTCCACAACTATGAAAGCCCACAGTGTTATATTTGTTGTAATCAATACATTTACATTGGCACATCATTATCATCTGAAGTAGTAAGCAAAGGTCTACTGTTGGTACTATACATTCTTTGGGTTTTCACAAACGTAAAATGACTTGTATCTACTACTGTAATATCATACAAAGTAGTTTCACTGCTGTAATAATCCTCTGGAATCTGCCTATTTGTTTCATTTATAATGTTTTTCTATTATCATTCAGTTCAAAACATTGTTCTATTTCCCACTACAATTAGTCTTTTGACCATGGGTTATTTAGAAGTATGGTGCCTCATTTCTAAATATTGAAGACTTTCTGCCTATATTTCTGCTAGTTATTTCTACTTTAATATTGTTGTGGTCAGAACATATACTTTGTATGACTTCAATCTTTAACATTTATTGAGATACGTTTTAAAATCCATCATATGTTGATCTTCAAAGTTTCGTTATTGACTAGATCAAGTTGATTAATAGTATTTTTCAAATGCTCTTTATATTTGGTGATTATTTTATCTAGGCCCTCCATCATCTACTGAGAAGAGATGTTAACATCACTATATCCATCAGAGTTCTCCAAAGAAACGGAATGCATAGGATATAAATGAAATAGATATAGCTATACTTATTAAAAGATCTGTTTTATGAAATTGGCTCATATGACTCAGAAGCAGCCAAGTCCAAAATCCATCAAGTAGGCTGGTAGGGTTGTAGGCTCAGACTGCAGTAAATATTGCAGCCTTGAATTTGAAACTTTTAGGCAGGACCAGAAGCTAGAAACTCAAGCAGGAATTAATGCTTCAACCTTGATTTTTGCATTAAGATCTTTAATTGACTAGATGAGTCTTTGTCCACAGTATCAAGAATAACCTCCTTTAATTAAAATCAACTGATTATAGGTGTAACTACATGTACAAAATATATCCGAAGTAACAACTAAATTAATGTCTGATTAAATTACCAGAAGCTAATCAAGTTGATACATAAAACTATTCACCAACCACAAATGAAAATTGGCTTTTTTTCTCCCTTTATCCTAGCAATTTTAGCTTTATGTTTTGTCAAGATAAATTGATCCATTTATTATTATGAAATTCTTTTTATCTGATAAGGTCTTCTTTATTTGATTTTATATAAGCATACCATCATTCTTATTTTAGTTATTTTTCATAGTATTTTTTGCTACTTTTTCAACCTACATAGGCCATCTTTCTTTTAATAAAAGGCATTGCTTTTATTTAAAACAAAATGCATTTGTACAGTCTTTAAGCCACTTTCCTGCCCCCTCTTGGGCTATGTGTGTTAGGACTCTCACGACTAGCACCAGTGCGAATTTTAACAGTGTGGTGGTCTAGAACATGCCAGGCCAGGCCTTAAGAGTTACATACACTGTGGCAAATCACAACCAGAATAAAGTCATTCTTAATTTAGCACATATTAAAACTGCATATTAATTATATCTCAAACACATTTAATTAACGCAGGGATGCTACATTTAAGCCATTTTCTAGTTGTGAATAGTATTTAAAAACTACAATTTTATAAAATTTGTGTCTGTACATTAGTTACACAAAATACATACTTTGTAGACCTTTACTTCATATTATAATGCATAAATTGCATATTTTAGGCAGACAGTGAATATGCTGGTGAATGATAAAAGTGTTGTAATACATTATGGCATAAAAATAAGACAATATACACACATGCTTATTCAAGGACAACCCAAGCATAACAGACTAACAGCATTTTCCTTCCAACAATGATATTATTAAATATTAGGCATCTTTTGAAGGCCTGATTTTACATGGGGGAGGCAGCTGAATGGCTACCAGAATTAGGATTTTTAAAATATGACATCAAATTTAACGCACATTGAAACACATGCATTAAAATGATAAACAGACTTCATTTAGGGTAAGCCCTGGATACCTTTAGAGTCGATGTCTTGTTTCTTACAGTTTGGCTAGCATGCATCAGTGATGGTCTCTTCCTAATCTTCTCACCGTTTCAGTTTTCAATTCTGTGCCATCTTCCAGAGTCCACAGGTCATATCACAATAGCAGATTCAGAATGGTGCGGGTTAGTGCACATAGTAACCAGTCTGGTAAGGCAAAGAAGTTTTTCATGACAAAATGATAATGTCAAGCTTACTTTACTAAGCAGCATATAAGAACATCTTTAAAGTTAAATATTGTTATGGCCGTGGAGTTTCACTACACAGTATTTCTAATCACACTGGACCACTGGTAAGTTTATAGAACATCTTTTCATCTAAGCTCTCGTTTTGGTCTTATGCACATGTTGATCGAAATATGTAGCCACCAATGAACTCATGAAACACTCTGCAATCCACTTTGGTACAAAGGAAGGAAAATGGAATTCATCAGCAAACTCCACAGTGACCATTTAGATCTCCCAGTTGACATTCCACTGCTTCATGTTGCTGAATCTCCATGTTTTGATGACATCTCCTGTGCTGGCATCCATCCGAACTAATCTGCTATATGCAATTCCAATAAGGTCTTCTTTTTTGCCTCCCTGGAACCTTGCGATGAAGTGCGTGACGACAAATTCAGGCAGTGACTGCCAAGCTTGAATGATCTCATCTTGGCTTCAATCAGACTCATCTGAGCCACATTCTGATGGGCTTCCAGGATCCATACTCTTATCAAATCTCTTATATAGCCTGGTTGCTTGTTCTTGTACTTTTTTAGATAATAAGGAGACACTAAACATTCAGGATTTATAGTAGTTGTGATCTGTACTGGTATTAACTGAGGAGAAGATATTCTGAACTTCTAGGTTGTAAGAACTGTCTGCCATAGTCTTGCCCTTGAGGGCTAAACTGCAGGTTGCCATCCAGTGTACACACTATTTTTCATTGTCACAACAAAGCCAGATTTCATTCTTGTCCTCTACAACTGGAATCAGGAGTTTAATGTTAAATTTTTGGCCTGAAATGCTTACATCTGGGGTAACTTTACCTCCTTGCAGGTTCATCTGATGAGCAGGGGTGCCACTGGACTCTTCTTTGCTCTTATAGCTGGAAACAGACTTATTTTTGAAAGTGCACCAATACTGCTCGTAGCCTTTTAAAGTCAGCTTTTGGGGCTTGAAAACTTTTAGTCAGCAAGTTCAGGAATGAATGTAATGTCACCCAAAATTGTTGACATTTTATCCCCTTCCAAAGTAATCTCCAGGTGAGAAAGGGCAGCATAAACTTCATCAACATTTTTGTCACTGCTGTTTATGTGACTCTCTGATGTCATGATGGACAGCTTATTGATATGACACTGCAAGGCTGCAGATACCATCATTTCTTCTTCTGTGCTTTCAATTTCTTCCTGGAGAATGGCCCTTTTGGCCTGCTCATAAAGCTGACTGATTTTGATTGCATCATACTTTGGATTCAAATTTTTTAAAAAGCTGTAATACTTGAAATGAGGCAGCAAGGCCCTCATTTTCTTTCACATATTGTTCCATAAGAGATTTTGAGGAATTGAGCTACCCTTGGTTGATTTTTGCTTTATCAAGAAGAGCTTGAGGCTTGAACTTTTTTGTCAAGATTTCTGGTGATGTGATTGGCTGACCGACAGCAAGGATACAAGGATTGACTTCTGACAGAGAACTGTCACCAAACCACGCAGAAGTTGGTGACAAAAGGCTTCCATCATGAGCAACATTGGTGGGGATTGTTGTTTTACTATACAGTCCTGGGCTTGAATGTATACTTCCTGATCCAGAAGTGTTAAGAGCCCCTCCAATTCAAGTGCTTCGTCTTCAGACTGGTCATCTAACTTTTTCTTTCTTTCTTTCTTTTTTCTTTGTTGGATCTCTGGGATTTTTTTAAGGAAGAAAGTTCTTCAGGGTGTCTAATATTGAAAGTTTTGCATATGTCAGAAACAGCTTTGAAGACTCCATCAGAGAAATTCACTTTCACCTTCACATACTTCACTTCAGGGGGAGAAGTTTATGCTGGGGGGTGAATTGAAGCTTGGCCTCTGCTTGAATTCCGTACTTATCCAATGTGTCTTAAGCAGCCAAGTTCTCTTTCTTCCCTCACCAAGGAGTTTGATCAGACCAATCCTTTTTTACATGGCTTTTTTCCACCAACTTGAACATCAACCCTCCGATGTGCACCTCCTGGGTCACTCGGATCACTCCTGGGACATTGTGGATCAGGTCCATCACATGATGCTCAGTTCCCACACATCTGCACAGCAGCCACTGGCCATCTTTATCCAGTCCAGAGCCATGGCTCCTTCCATTCCCGGCCCAGGGCTGGCAAGATGGCAGCTGAGATGGTGTATATGGCTCCTTGACCGGCTCACACCTGTACTGTTTCTTATGAAGAATATACTGTAGGGCTAGGGATTTAGTTCAGTGGTTCCAGCATCTGCTTCGCAAGCATAAGGACCCAAGTTCAATCCCAGGTACCAAAAACAAACAAAAAAAACAAACAAAACCAAGGATATATTATGGATCTTTCTTTTTTCCAGTATAACAATCTCTGCCTTTTGGTTAGAGTATTAGTTCATATATATTCAATGTAATTATTTTATGTCAGGGTTACAGCCTACCACTTGTTTTTGTCTTTGTAACATCTGCCCTCTACTTCAATTCTTTTATTTGCCTTAGGGTGAAAAAGTGGTCTATAGTATTCAATTTAATCTTTGCCATCAACTTTTAAAGATATGTTTCCTTGTTTTTACAAATTGCTTAGCCTAAAAATAATATATGTCAAGTTATCACAATTTACTTTCAAATATTATACTACTTCACAAAAATATGAAATCATTATAGCTGATTTATCTCCCCCTTCCTGGCCTTTGTGTTTTTATTTATTTTTTATTTTATTTTATTACAACATATGCTATAACCCTTAATAGAAAAAAAATCAAAATATTTTAGAGAAATTAAAATTGCTGAGTATATGTATTTAAATCGTACTAAAACTCTTTTATCTCTGCCCTTTTTAGGATTACTGATTTCTACAGATATGAGGTCATATCTGGTACTCTTCCTTAGCCTGAAAAAAATACCTTTTTGTGTAAACTGATCTACCAAAGCTCTCAGCTTTTGCTTACTGGAATTATTTTTATTTTGCCTTCATTTTTAGGGATATTTTTGTTGAGCACAGAATTCTAGATTGATTTTTTTTTCATTTAAAACTCTAACATATCATTTCATTGTCTTCAGGTCTGCAAACTTAGCTATTTCTCAACATGGTTTCTTATGTATAGTTTCTTTTTTCTCTGGTTGTTTCTAAGATTTGGTCTTTACTTTAGGTTCAACAGTTTGAGAATAACATGCCTAAAATGTGGTTTCCTTTGTATTTGTTCTACATTAGGGTTTGCATTAGTAGGTGGAATTTTTCTAAGAATTGTAATGCACAAGTCAAAATACACTAAGCAGAAAGTATGTGGGTGATTTTCTTGTCCAGATATAGGAGTATGAAAGACTCCTATGCCCAATAGACTTTGTGAAAAACTTAGGCTATTATTGTCTTAAAGCATGGTGGTTAGTAACTTGTGGAAAGCTAGTTGTCATTTTGGAAAACATAAGAACAAACTTTTAAAATGTCCTGATTGCTTATATTACCCATCAGGAAAATGTAAGATGATATAAGTAATTTAAAATATAATTTGTATAACTGAAATTCGTGTTGGGGATTTGCTTATTTGAGTAATTGGTCACATGTTCATTCCTTGTTGCTAACAAAAACATTTCCCATGCATTGCATTTCCCATGGCCAATGGCAGATGTTCTAGTCAAATAATCTAACAGCTGGTGCAGACATGTTCTGGAAATCAGCAGGCAGTTAGCCATTAGTAGTGATCAGGTATAGCAATCCAGCAGTCTGGATCTTTGACATGTAGATAAAGGAAGAACATTCAATGAGGAAAAAAAAGATAACTTCAAAATCCATGCCCTTTTCCACCTCTGATTTTATATTCCTTTTTGATAAATACCTATTCTGCTTTTGTAAAATATAGTAAGGGAAGAGGCCTCACAGACCACATCATGAATTTAAATTTTAATCTCTATACTTTAAATGGCTGTTGATAAAATCTTAATAATTTTTCTTTTGAGTTGATCAAGTCTAAAGGATTTCAAGCTGAAGTAACAATATTTCTTAATTTTTATCAGACTGCTAATTAATAATAACACCAAAGAAGTGTTGATATACATCCAGTCTGGAAGGATTGAAGTCAGAATGAACATCCTTGAACTCTGGTTGAACAGTTCATTTACATGTGGATGCACTGATTAAATTGGAATAATGTGTTCTTATATCCTGGGAGTAAAGAGATAAGTTCATGTATATGCTGGTTTGTATTCAAATGAAAGGAAAATAAATATTAATTTTGGTGAGTAAATTTATTAAAATTATAAATTTAGGTATTTTTCTTTAAAGGAAATATTGATTTAAAAATATTTTTTTCTAAGTAATACTAAGAAAAATAAAATTGTAAAGCGATCTTTGTATTTTCCTTGTACATTTTAAAACTATACCTCCAACACTGAATAGACACTAAAATATTCAACAGCTACAGTGCTAATCTCGTCGATATTTTTATTTGCTCTTACAAACAAAAGGGAAGTTTTTCATGCCAGGAAACCCAAGCCACAGATAAATATTTTTGTAATTTACAATTCCATGTTGCTTGTTATTCTGCTGTGTACCAAAATTTTAATCACCGAAATTTACAACACAATAAAATGTTAGGTGTTTAAAATATTAAGCAATTTACTTACAGTAAAAGTTCAACTAACAAAAAAAACTGAAATAGAAATTCAGGCTTCTTTTATATCATGATTATGATTATTTTATTCCTAAAGTTGAGAGCTATAGCATAAAAGAAATAAAACTGTGAATTTAATCATTCGTTGGTTTACTAACTTATCAATTCTTTTTATTAGGTGCTAATACTGGAGATAAAATGGTAAACACAGCAAATACATTCTCTACCTTTCAGGAGCAGAGTCGCCTCAGGATAGATAATAGCCATCAAATTAGGTAATTAATTGTGTAATTAGAATTGTGCTATGTGAAATTAGGTGGCTGTTCACAGTACTGACTCCCAGCTTCCTTGGGGAAATGATTCTTCAACTCAGATCTGAAGGAGGAGTAAGAGTGAGATGAAATAATGTGAAATAGGAAGAAAAGGGATAAAGGAGTAGGGGAAATGGGAAGGGTATGGGAAAGGAAAGAAGGGAAAAGAAAAAATATGAGAAAAAAATGGAAACAAAGTCTTTGTAAATAGGGAAGGCTGGAGGGGATGAAGGGAGGGCAGAGGTATGGGGAAAAAATAAGAACCATGATACATCATATAAAGGTACAAGATCCCAATGATGAATGTAACTGTACTGTATACCTAAAAATATCAATAAATTTAATTTTTTATAAAGTGAGTGGGACTCAGATGTAAGCAGAGGGAAGACAGTAGAAGCAACAGTGCAGACATTGGATAAAGCCCCTTAGAATCAAGCATTTATAGTCCTTGGTGGATGAAATACAGTGGGGTTGTGTGGAGATTTCTGTATAATTAGCAGGGGTGGGATCATACAAAATAACTGTATGTCTTATGGGGAATTCTAGTCTTCATCTTAAGAGCCATGTACATGTAGTTATTGAGGAGCTTTAGGCATAGAAAGACATGAAAGATTTTGCATTTTAGAAATCACCCAATTGGTGACAAAGTAGAAAATGGATAGACTAGTTTCATGGTAGATGAGAAAGCCCACCTAAAAGACTCTTCTAGAAATTCAGCTCCAAAACTGAGAACTGACTGAAAGTGGCAGGGACAGAGAATAAGAGATATTCAACTTAAAAATATTCAGGAAATGGTTCAACGGGAATTGGAGACTGACTAAATATGGTGGAGGAGGAGTTAAGGAGTTGGAATAAAGAAAGACTCCCAGTTTCCTGTGTGTTCAATTTATAGACATTAGTGTCATTTTTGAGGCAGACAGCCCTAGAAGAGGCTTGCCATTTTCTTCTGTGTCATAGGAGAAGCAGCAACACAGAATTGGGTTTAGGTAGACTGAGATTCATGTGCCTACGAAGAGTTCAAAGGTAGACAGGGAGCAAACAATTTTATATGCCCAGAACTAAAAGGAAACATAAATTTGAAAGAGGATAAATAAAGCTAGAAGAGTGAAATTGTCTCAGGAAAGTTCCTCAGCAATGTTCTACAGAATCTCTAAGATCTGTGAAATGTCAACAGGATTTCCACGTAAAATGATAACCAAAAAATATTAAACATCAATTTTTGAACTTTTTGTGCTATATGATAGACTGTGAATTAATATTTCTACAAGCTATTTTTTTGTTTTTTGGTACTAGGGATCAAACTCAGGACCTTGTACTTTGAGAGACAGGTGGCAGAACCACTGAGCTAAATCCCTGGCCCTACAAACAATTTTGTTGGAGAATCTTCCGCTCCATTCAGCATTGTGCAGGACAGTATGCATCTACATGAGTCCATTCTAAGATTTTGATATAAGGTGAGTGAGGTCTTGGGATAGCTGTTAAGTTTTTTTATGTGTGTTTATAGTACAACACTTAGCAATTGGTCCCCCCAAATTAACTTTCTGACCTCCCTTTATACAAAGCTGATGAAGGAAGCAAAAAAAGCTTTAATGGTGTAATAGAACATCAGAGGAACATTTTCAATCAAAAGAAGATATGTATACACACCATGATAAATCTGATTCATACTTCTCACTATGGCAAATGAAGCAAAACACAGATGAAGTACAAACAGCAAATAAATATATGAAAAAGTATTCAACATCACTATTCATTCCAGATATGCAAATGAAAGCAAAGCTGAGATTCCATCTCACTACATAAAGAATGGCAATTATCAAGAAATCATCCAGTAACAAATGCTGGTGGGGATGTGGGACAAAAGGAACACTTCTCCCCCATTGGTGAAAGTGTAGACTGGTGCAACCACTGTGGAAATCGGTGTAGAGATTCCTCAAAAAACTAAAACTAGAGGTTCCATCTGACCCAGCCATTTCCCTTCTTGGCATCTTTCCAGAATAATTAAAAACCTCACAACACAATGATATGTGCACACCCATGTTTATAGCAGCACAGCTTCTAATAGCTAAATCTTGGAAAAAGCCCAAATGCCCATCAACTGATGAATGTATAAAGAAGATGTGCGTTTTTTTTTTAAATAGTGGAGTATTAGTTGTAAAGAAAGATAAACTTGAGACACTTCTAGGCAAATGGATGCCACTGGAGACCATATTCTTAAGTGAAATAAATTGGATACATGTTTACTACTGTATTGTTTCTCTGGTATGAGAAAACGAAAGTGTAAATAAGGACCAAAATGTTTGAAAGATATTGTGAAATAGAAAGAGAAAATTCAAATGGGAAGGGGAACTAGGGAGCAGGGAGGGGGAAAGGAAGGAAGGGAAAAGAAAAAAACAAAAAGCAGGAAAAAATGGAAACAGGTTTTATAATAAGGAAGGGAAGAAAGGCTGAAGACAGGGGTGGGAAATGGGGGAAAAAAACAAGAATCAAAATATATCATGTAGGGGCAAGGATTTAGCTCAGTGGTTCCACCACCTGCCTCACAAGCACAAGGTCCCAAGTTTGATCACCAGTACCAAAAAAAAAAAAAAAAAAAAAAAAAAAAAAAAAAAGGAAAGAAAGATATATCACATACCTCATGTACAGGTACAAATTACATATGTTGAATGTGATCATTATGTATATTTAAAATGTACCAATAAACTTAATTAAAAATGATATGAAATTTGGCATCTTGAGATTTTTCTTAGTTACTATGCCTTTATTTTAACATTTTATTTGAGTTTATGTTTCACAAATATGTCTGACGATACATTGTGATGATTTCAGAAGTGACATAGGAAAGGAGACTAAGCGTAGGCCTATGGATGCTTTTGAGATGTTTAGGGACGAGGCATTACAATCTTCTGAGTTAATTCATAGCACTAATGAAACAAGGCATTAATAGAAGTTCACCTTTTAATAGAAGCTACTTATCAGTGAGTTTTACAGCCTAGTGGTCTTATTCCATTGTGCACAGTCTGTGGCAAATGACTAGCAAAATTGAAAAGATGCTTAACTCCAAATCACAGCCATTTGACAAGATGCTGATTATTTTTAATCAGTGATTTAAATGTCACACAAACAACATAAAGATTTTGTCTATAAAAAGGGTCATACTCAATGAAAAGGCTCAGGAAGTAAATTATTTAGGAGTTACTTAGAAGGCAATTTATGACCTATAAAAGGGAAAGTTGCAAAGCTGACTAGAATCTAATAATGATGGCAGGTAAAATTATAACTAATAAAATGCTTAGGGTAAAAATCCATTTAAGAAACTGAAAAAGTCCCTCTTTCAACCAGTATGAAATGTTAACATACTGATGATATGACTCTTCATACCGAAGTTATTTTGTGTAATAATATTGAACAGCTTCTCTGCACAGTTAGATGAATAAACAAATTTCACCTCTGAGTGTCATGCTGTAGCATCTGTAAGATTTACAAGTTATGTCTAAATTTTACAAATATTTTTACACTGCAGAACACTGGCCAAAACAGTAAAGGATAAGATATATTTGATCTTTCTCTTCATATAAAAAAATCAGAAAGTCTGTTATTTAGCAAAAACTGCAGTCATCTGTGTTGATGGTGCCCCAAGAAAATTCATGTTCATACTAACATCAAACACACTGATTTCTTCCCAGAAAACTATTGGTGTTTAAAACTTGAATACGAAATGAACAAAATATTTAAGTAGTGCTACCAAAATGGTGTCGCGAACCGGCGACGCAGAGCACTGTCCCGCAGTGCCTCAAACCTGAAAGAGCAGCGGGGTGGAGATGGGGCAGAGAGAAAGGAAGGACGCCAAGACAAGAGTCTGATCAAGGCGACGTTTATTGCCGGCAAGCACCGGCCTTTTAAAGGGAAAGGCCGAACTATTATGGGCTAGGATCACCATAGTAACCTCAACACCCGCTCCACGGGAACGAGGGTTCACACGGGCCTCAACACCTGGTCCACGCGGCCCGGGAAGCTCGCACTCTGCACAGTGGTCCCAGCGCGCCCCGCCCGCCTCCCACGCCCCTCGCCCGGCCCTCGGGGCTGTCCGAGTTTCTCCCGTGCAGGGTCAAAACAAGTTTAACACGTGCAGTCCTTAAAAAGGAACAAATGTTGTCTTTCAAAAAGCCAGTGGGCCATGGCTGGCTTCCCACAAAATGGTTAAACAAAGACTAGTTTGCTTTTAAGGTAGTATAAACACCTCAAAAGGGAATTTCTACATCTTCTTCTACACTCTACATGTTTCACTGACATGGCTGCCTTACGCTTACCTCTGGGGACACTAACACTAAAGCAGTTCCTGAGAAGGGAACAAGTCCTCCTCCTCTACAGAAGAATTCTGCAAGCAATCCAGCAAGTTCCAAATGCATCTGATCACCAATACCTGAGGAACTGGGCAAGGGAAGAATTTGAAAGAAATAAAAGTGCCACAGAAGAGGATACAACTGGATGATGATTACTCAAGGCAATAACCAGCTAAAGGAGTTAGAGAAAACACTTGCATTAGCAAAATCTTAACTGTAGCATTGTTCTGAAGGATTTCCAAATCTTCATGTGTTTTGTTAAGTTTAGGTTTAATGGACAGTTCAAAGCCAAGTCAAACTGTAGATACAATACTCAAAAACAATAAAGGAAAGCAGAGCATACTATATCATAGATAGCAAAGAAAAGCACAGTGAAACAACTGCCTTAGAACTGACAAATACACCTGAGTTCTGAAAACATTTCTGGATGTATCACCAGTTTTTATAAGAAGCCAAAACTATTAACAGCCAGTTTGCACATGGAAAGATGCTCAACACAAATCATCAGGAAAACTCATTTCAAAACCATAATGAGATAGCACTTCACTTCCACTACAATGGCTATAATTTAAAAAGGAAATAAATGTTGGTGGTGATGCGGAGAAATTGCTCAGTGGCACCTACCTGTAATCCCAGCATTTTGGAGCCTTCTCAAAAAAATCCTTCTGCATTTCCTGTAAGGGTTGTTGAGGTATATTCTTCAGCAGTGCCATGATTTGATAGCCAAAGGACACTAAAAAGACCATCACCGGCAAATCTGAATCTGTGCTGGAAAGAAGAGAAAAAGAACTGAATGAACACATTAAATACCAAAAAGAGCAAGGAAAACTTCAAGCAACTTCTCGAAGAAACTTTCACAATTACCTTAATTTTGATGTGGATAGAAGTAAATCCTGGAAGAATGTGGGAAGTCAGCCATGGCCCACTGGCTTTTTGAAAGATAACATTTGTTCCTTTTTAAGGACTGCACGTGTTAAACTTGTTTTTGACCCTGCACGGGAGAAACTCGGACAGCCAAAGATCTGTAGGAGTCAGGTGCTTCCTGTTAAAGATCTGACGTTATCTGTAGGAGTCAGGTGTTGTAACTCCATTTTGTTAAGTTCCTCCACCTATTTGGGAATCATGATTATTAGTTGCAAGTGTTGTTAATTTGTTTTTCTTGAGCCTGCTTTCTCTTTCCCGTGTGAACCCTCGTTCCCGTGGAGCGGGTGTTGAGGTTACTATGGTAATCCTAGCCCATAATAGTTCGGTCTTTTCCTTTAAAAGGCTGATGCCTGCCTGCCTCCAATAGACGTCCCCTTGATCAGACTCTTGTCTTGGCGTCCTTCCTTTCTCTCTGCCCCATCTCCACCCCGCTGCTCTTTCAGGTTTGAGATACTGCTGGACAGTGCTCTGCGTCGCCGGCTCGCGACAGAGGAAAGTTCTTGGTGAGTCAGATTCTTCTCCAGGGACAGGAAAAACAAAGAATTTTGAATACATCAGAGACAACTACATCACACCCAGAGTTGACTTTAGGTCACTTTTGAAAGTAATTAAATTTATAACATACAATTAAATTAATAAAAGATGTGGAAGCAAAAGTTATGGAAGATAACGGGTTATTAGTCCTACAAACTTAAGTCCCATTCATCAATAGAATAGAGCTAAGAAGCTAATCCAATAATATGGTGAACACCTGAAAGATGTAGACAAAATTTTGCAGAAAAATACACGGTATCAAGTACTGTACTATAAGCTAGAAGAGAGTCATAAACCAATGGTGCGTAAGTTAATGATCTGGATTCCCAGATCCCACTTCTACCTTCCTGTAGCCTCAGAGTTCACAGCACAAAATACTTCTGAATACCCTTCTGAGGGAGTAATCTACTAATTCAAAATGCTTGCGTGAGCCAGCCTTCACGTTCCTAAGTAAGCATTAATGTGTTGCAGAACCATCTGATAAAAGTAGGACTAGGGATTTAGCTCAGTGGTTCCATCGTCTACTGCGCAAGCGCAAGGACCTGAGTTTGATTCCCCAGTAACAAACAAAAAACAAAAAAGCATTTATGAAATTTCTAAATAAAGAACTCGTTGGAAATAAAAAACAAATAGGTCAGATTTTGTCAGATGCTTCAAAGATAAGAATAATACAGAACAATACTTGCAGGCAAGCCCAAGTCCTGAGCCCCACACTGGGGTGCCACCTGTGGCCAACCCACTCTCTGCCTTGCTCCTGGACCTAGACACTTTAAATTGTTCTCCCTAGCCTGGGGCAAAAGAAGAAGAAAGACACAGGTTAACCTGTGGGCAGCTAGAGGACTCTCACCTGTAGTAAGCAGAGGAGCCCCTAGCCTTTGGCTCATCTCTTTTATTCACCCAAACATGGGCACAAGCAATCAAAGTAACACAAGATTCATCTGCTTTCCAATATCATTAGTACACACGCTGGTAAACAACTTAAGCTCAGATGTCTTAACTTTTCCTAATATGCAATACGCATTCACTCCAGTGTGCAGCCTTGCTCATTTGTGCTCACAGAGGAGTCCAATTAGGCCTTAATTCTCCTCTGGTCTCTGACAAATGTTTTCCTTCCCATTCCAAGTGCAGACTCTGAAGGACTGTCTCTCTAGATTTTTCTGCCCAACCTGACAACTTGACTTTGAGAGAAGAGAAAGAACTTTGAGCTGAACTCTGCTTATGCACTCAAGATGACAATTTGAGCTCTATCCCTAGATGAGTTGTGGGGTTCTGTGAAAGCAGAGTATTTTGCCACTCAGGGAAGGCTTGGCTCTTGTTTTCAACTTACTTATGAGCAAGTTTTTCATTATTATCTTACAACTATCAAAGTCAAGAACAGAAATTGATTATACTTGAAAATAAAATATTTGTATGCCTATTTCATACATCTGACATACTTGAATATTTGAATATTTTTGTAGCAAAGATAATACAAGTTTCATTTTAAGTACATAAATGTCATTTATTCCTTCAGATTCTATGGAGAGCACAGCCATATTGACCTGTGATTCACCTGAGCAGTGTGGACATACCATCACCCATAGCAATGGGCTAGTTCAACTGGTGGTCTGATCTATTGCCTAGCAGAGGTAACCGATAGTAGTTGTTATTGTTTCCTTCTGGAATGTGTGGGCAGTACTCTCGCTCTCGTGCAGCTGGAGAGTATAAAAGGAAAAGGTTCTGTAATAAAGCAAGCAAGGACCATGAGCAGAAAAGTGCCTCCCGTCTCTGTCCTCGTCCTTTCAGGTTTAGGACCTGCTGGCAGGATCCTGACGTCGCAGCTCGTGACAGGATTCAAATAATGCTTTCATTCATACTGAGGCCTACGAAAGAGATCAAGATATCTGCATAGTAATTTTGTAACTGCCAGGGTTATATTTGATCCTACCCACTTCACTCAAATTATTTTCCCTTTGACATATCACTAGCTATGTACATATCACAAGCTATATCTTTATTTAAATTATTTTAGTATATTATTTAAGGAGGTTTACTATTCAACATTCACAATACATTTTTGTGTTGAAAATAATATTACATAAAATCGGCTTATAAACTTTAAATTTGTCAAGTCTATCTTTTAAAAAATCTCATTTTGGAATAAACTATTGAGAGAAATGTACTAAATTAACCCGACTGGTTTTAAAAATTAATTTTTAAAAGGCAAGCTAAGCTTAATAGCCTTCCTTTTTAAAGAAAGGATAGCTAAAATATCATAGGTGCAAACAGGAAAAATAGTCTTGCTATATACAATGTGTCACATATTCTACAACATTACCATCTTTTATCAGAGGCAGTTATAATAAGAATTTTAAGTATATTTGGAAAAAGTTAAAATCCAGAAGGATTTTTTATTTTCTAAAGGAAGAGCTAAAATGTATCAATAATGTCCACTTACATTCAAGTTGATAGCCTTAGTGAGAAATGGAGCCCCCCAAAAATGAGTTATACTAAGAGCAGCCAATATAAACAGATTCATAGAAAACTGACATTCTCTTCTCAAAAGAATATCGCTACTATTTTTGGTTTATTACATCTACAACTTCCTGATCATGCTAATATACTGGGAGGTATAGATATAATTTTTATGCAGGGATTCTCTGAGGCCCTGGTAGGTCTAAGGAGAAATGTAGAAAGCCTATAAACTAAGAAGATCTACTACCTTGGAGTCCAAGTCAGTAGAGGATACTATGGATGTAAATGTTCAACTTTATTGTACTTTGATGAGAGGGTAAATGATATGAAATCTCAGGAATGTATTTAACCTTTTTGAGGAAAATTACTAGTGAATGAGATATAAGGAAATGGAGCCACTGAGAAAAATACAAGTGTTTCTTTTCTGAGCTATTTCCTGTGCACAAGTAAAGACAGTGTGGTAACTAGAGGGGAAAATGAGATTAAAAGATATCTATGAGACATATAATAAACAGATGGCAAGAAGTGAATGGGTTCCTGATGTTGGTGGAAGGACTGGCAGGGAAATACATCCCCTCTCCTACAATGAGAGGAGGAGGAAACAATAGGTACAGAGGCAAGTTCGCTTGTGCTGGGGAATGTGCTTTGAGCATAGTCTGATTATAACTCATTTTTTTAGCTTTGGATTCTGTGCTCTCTCCAGTACATTTCAATGCTCAAATATAAACTAAAACAAAATTTTCAGGTTGAAAATTATAGCATTTGGCAATATACATAGTGCTCTCCTTGCTTTCCCTCCTTACCCTTCTCCCCTCTACCTTATCTATATTTGCCAAGTTCCCACTGGAATAAGAACAATGAAGACTTTGAAGGTGGTTAAGTAGGGCCAACAATTCAAAGCCCTTTGGATTTCTATAGTGGTAAATACATTTGCCAGGAATCATAATCATAATTGGGCTTTCACTAAGAACATATGCCACTACTTTTAGCAGGCATTAAATCAAATTGAGCAAAAGAAAAGGAAAAGGAAAAGGTCTGAATTCAAGCACATAACATGTCACCTCCCTCCTAGTAGTTTGCCAATTTCCTGCATTTTGTCAGTGTATATTGTGAATGCTCTGAGATTTAGGAGGTTTTGGGTAAGGAAAAGTATTTGTGTTTTTGAAAGAGAGTAAGTAGGGAAATGGGAAGTTAAAGATTAATTACTTTTTCCAAGAAGGACCAAAACTGGGCACTGTTCAAATTTTCTCTTTAATTTTGATGCTATATTAACTTTGAAAATCACAACAAAATACACACATAAGTAATTCTCAGTGATAGAGCATAGGAATTAAGAAATTACTTATTCTGAATGTTTGGCATAGAAAACAACTTCCTCTAAAGAAAACAGGGAAACTGCTTTGTTATATGGAAATATTCTTAAACTGTATTACTTTAGATTTCCATATTTAATATTTCTAATTAAATATAATGAAAAATTTAAAAGGCATTCACTTATTTATACATTTAAAACTTTACATTAGGTTGAAAGTTCTTTGGAGAGGAACTTGTTCTCAGAGACTGAACCATATCTGTTTTCTGACTTTCCAAGCTAATCAGAGTGGAATATCAATGGTGGCACAGGGTTTATCCTGCACATAGCATACAGAAGATGACTGATAAATTCTTCCTGAGCAAATGGATGGCTGAAAACTTAAATATGGATTTATTCTATTCTCTGGGAAATGCATTATTGAACAGGATAGCAATAGCCGGCCAACTTCAAATATGCAACAGTGTATGACTGAAAATTAATTAGACAAACACAAAATGTCTAGCAAATAGCTTTTTCACATTTTCTGAAAGTACCAATGAAAATTATGGAAATTCCAGAATAATTATTAGATGTTATTATAGAAATGCCAGCCTTGTAGAGGTCAATGAAACATTAGCCAAAGGGGGAGGGGAAAATCCTTGCTTAAGGGTTTATATGCAGTTACTGAGAATAACTTTTTTTTCCAATTTTCTTTTTAAATATTAGGAAAATAAAACACCAGAAAAGGTCTATG